TAAACCTGCTTATTTCGATCCTAACAGTGACAACCTCATAACCTAATGAATTGACCATGCATGAATGTGACTCTTAGCTTATATCAACACTCAAATTTCTTAAGCATTGTTATTATTCGATGATCAACTCTTGACTCATTTTGGTTTTGATCTTCGATGATCTTACTTTTAAAATCAAACTCTATGTTATTCTTACATATTTTTTTATGATTCAAAAAGATAACTCTCATAAAGAGTATGATTAGCACAAGATGTGTTAATTTAATTATTGCTAAACCTTATATTGTGCAGAGTTGAGTATCTTCTATTCATTGGGATTTATAAAGTATTTCTACCTATTTTAATATAGTTTAAAATACCTTGGTAGTATAATTTGTTTATTTTTTTTTTGCCTTATCAATGTATATAATTCTTTTAGTTTCTTATCCCTTGTTCGATATTTTAATCAGATTTCTGCAGCGTAAGGCTTGTAAAAAGAAGAAACCCACTCTACCAACACTACAACAAAAATAATTTTTAGCGGCAATAAATAGACACATTAATAAAAAATGCTAAAATCTTTACCGGCATTAGTTTAGTGTCATTAGATCCAATGTCACTAAAGACTTTAGGGACATATACAAGAGTGATAATTCCCACTAAAAATACATATTTAGCGACAATTGAACTATTGCCGTTAATTAATTGTCGCTAAAGATTATTTTTTATATAGTGCAGAATTCTTTCATTTTCGATTTTCGCTCCTGATACTCCAGTTGCAGATAGAAAAATCGTATTTATCTCATCGCAACCTATTATATACATACAAGTTAAATCCTTTCAAGAGTGGGTGGGATTTCCATCTTTTGAGGACATCCATGGAACATGGTTATCAATTTTAACTTGTCTTTCTTTCACCTTAGGGTTCCTAGCTAGCTCCTAGCTAGGTCAAACTTACATACACTCAAAAGACTTTAGAAGACTTTGGGATATATATGCACTAATATATTTTGTCCTTCTAATTAATTCTAGGTTGAATATAAATGTGATCTTTCTTATCATAGTACTGTGTGTTCACTATTTATGTGTCCATTATTTGTTACCAAACATATTAAAATATAGTATGTTTAAAGCTTTCTCATGTGTTCTTAAGAAGTCTTTGATGACGTTAACCTCCAAAAATATACCAGGGTTTTGGTAACCTTATAATAACATTTTTGACTCATTATCGCACGATTATAACCCTTTAAGTATTTAAAATAATATATGGATGGACATACTCTAAAGTTTAATTATTACTATTCGAGCTAGATTTTGTGTAAGATTTCATTGTGATGACGCAAACTCATGACATGTGTTGTCCGATTTACCCCAATAGGTCTCACATAATATTGTCCCTTGGGCTATCTCATCGTTGAGCATAGTAATGCGTGTATCATGTGAATTTATGTTATATCTTATAAAACCTTTTATTTTCCTCTTTGATCATGTGGATTCACGTCAACTTTTTAAAAACTTTTTTTGCATTATCAATGTACACAAGTTAAATTATAACTTTTATGTAACATTAAGCTAAATCCTTAACCATTAAAAGTCATAGTGGTAGGGTAGATCATATAAGATTCTTTCACTTTTAATCAGAGATATCAGATTCGAGTCTTTATTAGAAAAATAATCTTTATAGGAACGCCACTTTCATGTTTGATTAGTTGTACATGACACAAATTCAAATTAGTCGGAACCCCTACGTAAATATCAAACACCGAATAGAAAATAAAAATAAGTTAGATCCTTAGAAATGTTATATATTAAGATTTCTTTTAAGAGAACCCCATAAAGTTCTTATGTTCTCTATGGATGTCATAGTAGAATAAGGTATCCTCTCACCTTATGCTCACAAAAATTCCTCCTCCTTGCTGACAAAAGCATGTATAATTGTCTATTGGTGATGGGGGAGATGCCCACCAAAAATTGAAACAAATAAATAAAATTGAGGAAAATAGTAAACAATAACATCAGTGAAATTTCACAAATAAAGTCTGGAAAGGATCGATATATATATTACATAGAACAATGTCTTTATTTTATAGAGATAAAAAAGTTGCTTCAAATATACTCTCGATTGAAGTAAAATATTCGAAAGCATTTTGAAATAAAAAGAGGAAAGTACATATCCATTTTCAATCCCTTAAGAATAAAATCTTTTTTAGTTCTTGCAAATTGTGCTACGTACTCCTTCCATTTTATTCTTTAGTTTGAGCTAGGCATCTTCTATGAAACTACTTTTTTTGTTTCATCCTTTTTGACTATGTCGTTAATGTTTCCAAAAGTAGGATAAGAGAAGACTTTTATGTCATGGAAATAATAAGAAAGAAACTCTTGCCATCTCAAATTCTTATTCTTGATTGAAAAAGTTATGGAATTATATTCAAATGGCTCATCCATTGGATAGTTTGACATTCCAAACAAATCTCACACGAATGAATTAGAAAAGTCAATAGAGAAATTCGATTTTGACTTCGTAGAGTCGGTATTGCTATTATTTGCGCATTGGCTATCCCCTTCCTTGAAAGGATAAGATACAGATACTTGGTTCACTCTATTTCTTGATCTTTCTATGAATCGTATATGTTTGTTTTCATTAGGTGCCTATACTTCAACTGTCACTCGTACCTAGTCTATTTGCAATTATTTGCTCAAAATATATAGATCCACACCCTACTCGTATTTTTATTGATATCGATCGAGGAGGATTATCGATCCATTTTTCTATGGGCCGGGTCAGTTTGGATTTTAATTGGGCCAGATACATGACTATCCAGCCCAATAGACATGTTTAGTTGATTATTGGCCTGTTAGGTATCATTATCTTTCATTGAACTTGTAATTATTAAATTAAAAATATATATTTAAAATTCGTTAATATTTAGTTTACATCAAGAATTGAAAAAATTATATTTGTATCACCTATGTGGGTTAATACGGACTTATATAAATAATTAAATAAATATATATTTTTTATATATTTAATTTGAAATAAAGAATAAAAGGATATATTAGTGATTAGGACGTATTCCTTCTGAACGATTGTCTTTAAGGAGAGAACTCATGTTTTAAAAGACAACAAAACGACAAACTATGTTTTCTCCTTCATTCTTATGAAAATTTCTCCAAAAAACGTTGAAACAACTCTGTAACAAGGAACGATTCATAGAGTACTATAATTTTTCGATGTTCGTGTTTTTATATCTATGGTGAAGTTATACATACATTATAATGACACAGACTAAGATAGCTTCATTACTTTTAATTCAAAGCAAACTTAATTAATTATATGAATTGCGTGTGGTTAAGTTGATCATATAAACAAGAGACTAATCAAATCTAAATTAGTTCTCAATTCATACATTAGTGATCTTAGTTGAATAGAACTTAAATTGCGTGTGGTCACGTATAATATTCAAATATTTTTATTAATTTGATTTAATTAAAGTAGAAGGAAAATAAGAGGTACTGTAATATCATTACATTAATAATTTAATATTAACGTAAATCTCAATGGCACTTAAAAGAGTTGACAATTAATAATGTAATTGAGTAGATATAGCATACACGCAAGCCCTAGGTTCATTGACAGTCGAATTAGAATTTAGAGTTTATGAATTTGAAATTTTAATTATTTAAAGTTATTGTATTTGATTGATAATTTATATGTATCAAATAAATTTCTTAATATAAATATCAAATTTGATCATTTGAGTAAGAATTATACTAAATTATATGAACTCGCTTCCTACCGTCTAGCACAACCCTTGGGTTTTTTATATCTCAATAAAAAAAATTACAATGTGTATATATATAAGATTATTTTTCTATGTACAAATATTAGATATTAAATTCTATTCGCTTTTTCATGTGTATTTTTAATATTTTTTCAAATTCCTTTGATAAAAATTCTGCCAGATGGGTTAATTTTGACCGGTCAAAATCAAGATATTAAATAAAAGTACTTATTAATTGTCCAAAATTTCGTGATAAGTTCAGGAGAATGATAATAAAATAATACTTACATTTAAGTTTGGTCAAATCTACTCCAATTTTATATTTATTTTATATATCATAAATCACAATCACCTTCTCCTTCTTTATATTCTTTTTGTTTTCTTCAAGTGACCTTTGACCAATAACTTCAATTAAATTAAAGATGCTCTCTTCATCATTTGGATAAAAGAAATATCCAAGAAAATGTTGAGCTTTCATGTACTCACCATGATCTTGAATGTAATCACTAAAATATTATAGTCAATTCGAATATGCATTTATAGATAAAAATAAAGGGAAAAAGGACAAATATACTCCGAACTATCGTAAATGGTATGCAGATACCCTCTGTCATACTTTTGGGACATTAGTGCCCCTGCTGTCTAAAAACTAAAGCATATATGTCCTTCACTCTAACGGAAGACTAAATTAGGACATGTGGCGCAATCTTATCCGTCGATAAATGTCGGATCGGTGGATAAGATAGTGACACGTGTATGTCCGTTAGTATAAAGGGTAAATATGCTCTAGTTTTTGGACGGCAGGGGCACCAATGTCCCAAAAGTATGACGGAGGGTATTTGCATACCATTTACGATAGTTCGGGGGTATATTTGTCCTTTTTCCCTAAAATAAATTAGTCACCGAGATCAATCAACAACAACAATAGTATATCTTGTATAATTCTATTACTGTAAATCTGGAAGGATGTTGTGTACATAAATTTTATCATACTTTAGAAAGATAGATATGTTATTTTCAGTAGATCCTCGACTCAGATAAAATATTTCAAAACAGATTTTTAAAAAAAATACAGTAATAAAGAAATCACGTTGATAGTCAGAAATGTGAAGATTGGAGGAAATATTTATGAAATTTCCTTGTGAATATTTTAATGTACAAATCTTGACATTATCCAAAATCTTGAAGTATAAAGGGCCCTTAATGTTCTCATAAGTTTATAACTAAGTCTTAATTAATAATCTCTTAAAGTTTGTTTTTCAAATCTCCTATATTCAAAATGACTACAAACAATTGGCCTATAAGCCAATGGACAACAGATCTCTTTGATTGTTGGGATGATCCTTCTCTTTGTAATTACTTTTATTATAACCTCTTAATTATATTTTTTTCTTAATTAAGTTTAATTATTATTATTATTTAACCTTTTTTTTTGTAATTTTATCTTGCCTTTTTAAAGGTGTGAAGACTTGCTTTTGTCCATGTGTTACCATTGGAGAGGTCGTTGAGATACTTGATCAAGGCACTACATGTAAGAAAAAAAAATAATTAACATTTAGGGGTTTATTTAGTATTTAGAAAAATATTTTTTCAGAAAATAAATCTTATTTTTAGGTAACCAAATAGGTAAACACCGCAAAAATATTTTCCATTAAAAGGAGAAAAACAACTTTCTTCACTTATGTTTTTTCTCTAGAGGAGGCGGATCTCGAGTAATTTTTATTGATAAATACATAATTTGAGCTAAAATTATTAGATTTTGCCGAATCTGTACCATACATGATACATTCACCCCATCCATTTGAAATAGATCGATAGAGTTTCTTTTGAATATATTTTTCTTCGTATCAAATATACCAATTATTCCTTATTAAATCAAGAATTATCAAATTTTACCTAATATCACTAAAATTAATTAAACATTACTTAATTTTTGTCTTAATAATGATTATACATTTGTGCTAACTAAAATGCAATTTTTTATTTTTTTTATAAATGGCAGCTAAAGGACATGCTTGTCTTCTTGCTTATGCTATGGGTTCCATTCATTGTGGATGGATTTATGGGAGAAGATATCGAAGAAAATTGCGTGAAATATTTAAATTACCAGAGAGTCCATATTCAGACACTTTGATTAGTTGTTGTTGTTGTGTTTGTGGTATTTCTCAAGAATATAGGGAACTCAAAAATCGAGGCGCGGATCCATCCCTAGGTATGAATATAAATTCAAGTTATATATACTGACAATATAGATACTGAATTGTTTGTGAAGGTTATAGTGACTACATGCAATTGTTTTATGAATGACCTAAATTTTGAACAAATATTTTGTATGATATAGAACTTAAAACTCAAAAATCAAATTCATTTTAAAAATTCTCAAAAGCATGAAATTGTCGAAGTGGTGACCTGATGATAGGGATTGAAGTCTCGGTGAATGATGACTGGAAATATAATAGTTGCATGAAAGGCGTAACAATTTGGACACCAAATCTTTCTATGAATTGCTTTTTTCGTCTTTTTTGTCAGCAAAATGCCTATGATCTAAATTCATATTTGGTTTCTCGAAGTTCATGTAGAGACACCTACCACAAAATTTGCTTCAAATATGAGAATCTAGGAAATTTTAAGATTTTCAATATTTATGTTTTAAGAATTGATACTTTATTCCGCTCTTTTCATCTATAGTTTAAGCGCGATTACTATAATACATACTTTCTCCATCACTACAAATTATATGTATTTATTTATTTTTTCAGGATGGGAAGGCAATGTTGAGAAATGGAAACGAGAAGGGGTTACAGTGCCACCAATTCCTACATCCTCCATGACTCGTTAATTAATTAATTAATCTCATCTGTTATGTAATTAATATTTAATACAGTGTGATTATAATTTGTGCCATGAGGGTCTTTTGTATAAAAAAATTAATACAGTGTAATTATTATTTGTGCCATGAGGGTTTTTTGTATAGAAAAAATAAAATTATATGTACTATCTATTGGAGAGGAAGTGTAGAATTGGGTTGTTAAAATAATTGTTTGATTGTATTTGTGAGTGTGAACACTTGTTTAGCTATGTAACTGTCACATTAAATAATAATTTTGTTTGTTGAATTAGTGTGACATTATCTCAATGACTTTTGTACGCGGGATAAGATGAGATATCCCAGAATTAAGTTCATTTTGCATTTTCACATATTCCAATGCTCTCCTTACCACACAAAGCGTCCTGCTCGAACTCGTGAGGTCACATAGAGACAACTTTACGGTTGTTCCACGGCTCCAACTTTATTAAAGAGGAAGAGAAAACTAATTAACATCACAATAGATAGAATTATATATGTTTCTTATAGTGTCTCCTCTTTCATAAATAAATAAGCAGCAATTCATCTATGTTCATCAAAAACTCAGTTCAAAGAGGGAGAAAAACAAAGAAAAAGCACAAAACAATTACAAGAATGAAGTCACAATCAACAAGGCAACAGTACACATAGAGTCCGTTTGGATTGACTGAATTTAAGTAGCGTTTAAGCTCCGAGGCCAATGAAGTTGTAGCAAGCTGAGGACTTGACTCACTGCAGAGTGAATTCAGTATCAGAATTTACAAAGACCCTGTGCAAAACGACGTATGATCAGCTGTTAAAGTATCTTAACCGTTCAGCCTAAAGTATTTCCGACCAAAAGGGGGAGAAATATGTAAAATGTACCAAAGTGTCGTTCAATCTTGTGGTCTTAAACATGTCATGTGGAAAATTAGAATCAGAAGTTGCCAAAAAAGGAAGAGACATTCTTTTTTAAACGGAGTGTAAAAGGAAAGTAAGACAAGAAAATTGAAACGGAGTGAGTAACATGTTTTGAAGACTAACCTGTCAAAGTGCCAATGAAGCAATCTTTGAAGTTACAATCCAAGATCATGAGGGAATATAGAAAGCTTGAATCCGGTGCCCTTATCGTCTTCCTGTTCTTTTTCTTGATTCCTTTTTAGTATCGCTCGTGCAGATCTAGCTGCAGATTCACTGCAACCCTGGAGTTCAATTAGCTGGAGGTTTTTCACATCAGCCAGTTCAGCTGGGAGTTCCTCAAGTTTATCACATGATATGAGTGCGAGGTGTTTTAGTCGCGGAAAGTTCCCTGATGAGGCTTTCCAAGAAGTTAGATCTGTCCTTTCAATCCATAAGACCTGCAGACGAGGAAAACCACCGTCCTCTTGCTCCCACGACTGTCCTTTAAACGCATTTTCTTTCAACTTCAGCACCTCAAGGTCTGGCAATAGACCTAATATAGACATATCTTTCCATTCAAACCAAGTGTCTACCAGAGAGAGCTTTTTTAGCTTCTGAGGGAAAATATATGCTGGAGGAAGGTGTAGCGGTTTACTACTTAGACGAGTATCATTTACCAACTTCAGATATTCGAGGCAAGCTAACTTACCTATGTTACTGAACAAGCCAGAACCAGACCCGTCTTTACTGGTTTCTAAAAGCGCATCTATTTTCCCACGAACGCCTAATTTCTTGAGATTAGGAGTTCTAGTAAAAACTTCTGCTGTGCAACATTCGGGTGCTATAGTTGAAAGTGTTTGTAAGCAACGATTCACCAAGTTGCCCTTGCTGCTCTTGGGGCGCTTAGTGGAAGGCAATGTAGCAGAGGCGTTTGTGCACACATGCCTTAATCTTGTCATATTCCAAATGTCTGCTTTGATGTCAAGAGTAGCCTGTTGCGTCTCAACGATAAGTGTTTGTACGTTCCAAAGATTCCCAAAATCCGCGGGAATGGTCTTAATCTTGTCAGTTGATAAAGCAATGTACCTCAAATGAAATAATTTGAAGAACTCTCGAGAAAATCGATTGAACTTGATTGATTCAGCATCTAGTACCCTAAGCAATGGAAAGGCTTTCGGGATGGATGGTATTTCATTTGGAGGCATGTCAATTTTCTTCGAGCCAACACATAAAAATGACCTGATATGCTCACCGGAGGGCTTTGTTGATAAGAATTCAGGAACCAAGGAGTGAATACACAAACGACGATAAGTGGCTAACTCTTGTTTCCCTGGAAAAGATCGTTCTTGCCCTTGTTTGATTTCTTGAAAAAGATTCTCCTCCGTCATGGCCTCGTGTCTGCAGAACTCATGCAACATGTCATGAACGCGACATATTTTGATTTGACCACTGCAACTCCTTTGCATTACCATCACTAAGTTCCTATTGACAAGATCATTTAAGTGGTCCTCTGCTACATCCTCTAGAGCCAATGGTCCTTGGTATTGTATGAATCCTTCCGCGATCCATAACCGAATCAACTTCTTAGCAGGAATTTGAGAACCTCCTGGAAATGCCCCACAGTATAAAAAACACGCCTTTAGGTCATAAGGCAAACGATCATAACTCATTTGAACCAATTTCTTGCAGTTCTCTGGATCTCGATTTATGAGGTGCTCACCGACACTGGCAGCCACCAACTCCCACTCCCTTGTTGTCTTTCCTTTGCCTATCAAAGCTCCGGCGATAACCACTATTGCAAGAGGTAATCCCATACATTTTTCAGCTATACTTTTCCCGGGCAATTCTAACTCAGGTGGACACTTTTCCTTGTGAAAAACCTTCTTCTCAAGTAGCTCCCAACTTTCATCTTTAGTTAAAAACTTAAGATCATGAGGTTTATCATTACAATGCTTAGCCACATGTGATTGTCTTGTGGTCATCAACACTCTATTCCGTTTACCATTATTAGGGAAAGCAATTTTGATACGATCCCAAGCTTCCATCGTCCACACATCATCCAAAACAATAAGATATTTCCCACCTTTTCCAAGAAGCTCCTTCACTTCATTTGCTAAGTCATCCTCTGGTGTATCATGATATTGTTTGTTATTTCGAGTGAACTTGCTGATAATGTTGAGAAATATTTCCCTTCTCTTGAATGTTTGAGAGACATATACCCAAACGCGGGTGAAGAACTCATACTCAACCTTTGGATCCTTGTAAATCTTATATGCCAAAGTTGTTTTACCAAGACCAGGCATACCAACAACTGGCACAACCTCAACATAATCTGATCCTCCGATGAGACGATCAATTACAATTTTTGCTTCATCATCAAAACCAACCACATCATCTTCCTCAACTACAGGGGCCTGTAATATGATTGTAAAGAAGAAATCTATAAAACATATCAATTTACTTGAAGTACTAGTTGAGTGTACGTGCTTAACAAAACAAGATTCTCAACGCGACCTTCATTACATATAGCAACCACATTTCATAATTTACCAAAATCTCCCTTTTAGTTGAGAATACAGATTTCACTGCTTTAAATACACTTTCCACAAAGGTATATATATATATATACATATATATATATTTTATGGTATACTGCCTATATGTTATGATATTGTCCAGCTTAAGTTTGCTCAACCTTAAAGGCTTCTAAATTGCTTCATAATGTAGGGTATGTTGTATCATAGTTTCAGTAAGACTTAGAGAGAGTACAATTTTTTTCTGTACTGTAATAAGCTTATAGTTATAATGACATATTTGATAAACTATTTTTCGTTTTGATAAATGATTTGTGTCAATTTTGTTCGAATAGAAATTACATTTATCATCTGTTAGCTTGATTTAGTCGGGCTCCAATTAGCTTGATTTAGTCGGGCTCCAATGTGGGTACCGGACACCGGGTGGGAAACCAAAAAAAAAAAGTTTGTTGATAGAATCTTCTAAAATATGAAAACGTTTCTTAAATTATCCATAACATTACTGTCTATCTTATCTTATTGTTAAAATATGCTTACACTTGGACTTTACTTTTTCTCAATCTTGGTTATAAATTTGTCTTTATATTATTTGTTGCTAGTTACCCTACCCCTTTAATTATGATGTATACCGACTATATTACTTGAACTAGTATCACAAAAGAAAATTATTATTAATAATAATAGCAGAAATTAAAAGAATGAGAAAAAATCACCTTCCTCTCTTCATCACCTCTATTGAAATTATCATCTAAAGTTATCGCTTGAAGGCCATAAGCGTCATTTTCTCTAATTTCCTTCACTCTTTCCCTTATACTTTTGATCTCATCCGCTACCCCTTTTGCTCTAGCCACATGAGTAATATGAATCCATTGAGCAAATTTGTTTTTATCATCATGTCTCTTAGCTTCAATCACAAATTTATCAATTGAATCCTCAGCATCATTCACCACTTTTCTGATTTTCTTCACCATTTCTTTCAAAACCTGTAAGTAAAACAATTTACTCAATAAAACTATTAATTATTCTCTTTAGTTGGTTGGAGTATTCAGGTATTCAAACAATATTTTTCACGCGAAATATACATTTATGTGAAAAATGCAATAAAATAGTTGATAACCATATTTTTGATGCAAAATATACATTACGATCATGCTTGTCCCAAAAATCCTGCATATCAACATGTGTGAGCGTGTGGATTGCACGATGACACCATGCTTCTATGCTCATTCTGAGTAGCAGAAGAGAGTTGTGACATGAGCTATCATCTTAATTAGACGACAAGCAAGAAGATATGAGAAGAATATTTGTTGATTTTTGTAGCCTCATATTTAAGAAGACAACACCATATAGTTACTAATTAAACATGAAAGTACACGTCAGTATTACTTCGCTCTAACTTTTGTTGCAAATAAGATGTTTCTATTACTTTGCACTGCTTCTATAGAAACGATATTTCTATTACTTTGCAGTTACTTTTGTTATGTAAAAGATAATTTTAGAAATTGGGAGACCTTATACAAAAACTCAACTCTTATGAATATATTTTGCGTTCCTTTTCCATCCTCCGGTACAACTTGTTATTATTTATTTCACTGATAAGTATGAATTGATTGTGTTCTAATCAAAAAAAAAAATCCCTTCGACTTCTTTTTTGTCTATTTAGCTCCGTGCTGGAGCATAGATTTTAAAAATTTATCTTCAAATATTTGATTGACCATGAAATTTGATCAAATGTCCCAAAGACTGGCTCTAAGCCCCTTTTTGGGTCCTCCCCTCACCAAACTTCATTTTTTTCTAAGTAAAATGCATCTCCA